GTTTTTTTTGTGTTTAGGGACACACAGAGCACGGCCGTCGCGTGCCTGACTAAGTCCTCGCCAGTAAGAACGCAACCAGACCTGGTCCCAACACACTCTTTCGTCCTGACGGAGGCACCACCACGCTCAACAGCACACAGCGACCGCGACAGTGTAGACAAGGAACTAGTGACGACAAGTCGGCCTGGTTAAACTACTAAGACAGTGTCTTTTCCTTAAGTTGTGTTTTTTTGCAATCAACAGGTCGCACCGGCTCTTTTAATCTAGTTGCAATAATGCGCATATAGCTTAGCTCGCCACTCGCATGACTTTTCTCGACGGGCGCTCGATGGCCATCGAGGCTAGCTGCCCCACAACTTTTGGGACGTGATTAGCATCCCACCCCTATTAGCGTCTCTCGCCATGTCCGGACATTTTCGCTTCTTCGTCTCTTTCTAGAGACCGAGACTTTAGTACGAACCACATGTGTCGCGAACGCGAATGTAACAAACCATAAACTATGGTATTATCGGTAATCCCTATAACTTATGCTATAAGATAGAAGAATTTATCCATTAACGGTAAGCACCCCACACAATCAACGTACAGTATCACAGATACGGCACTATACGATAGACAAACTGGGATATATGTTATACGAGAGTGCCTTATAGATTTCAGTGCAGTCGTATGATTTAACTTTACGCTATGATCTACAAAGTGCACACTACTATGTAATTATAGCAGTCGTATGACATCGAGTATATCGACAGACCGCATATAAATGCGATCGACGTCTTATACTTAGTGGCGATACATTCCCAAGCGTGTCTACCCTACAGCCAATGGCGCGTCTTTCCTGGACTGTGCGCACTCATTCGGGTACCCAACAAATCTATATGGACCGGTGGACGCACGGCGTCACAAAATATCCACTCGCTCGCAGTCTATAACGTATAACGCGTCCGCGTGTCATCATTACTCGAACATGGCACTGGCAGTGACCGCAACGGCACATCTTGTCTCAAGTCCAGCTCGTGTATCGCCCACAAGTCTCGCTCGTGTTTTGCATACTGTAGTACAAGCTTAGGATATGCCTGCCGCCAGCGCGAGGGTCGGTGTGCATGGCCCGTCACCATTGCACTACAGCGTAGACTTGGACAACGATGACTACACTAATGTCGTCACAAAGTTCGGTCACCATGCCGCTGTTTGACAAGAGGCGAGAGCATTACAACAGGAGCGCTCATCATAACCGTCGAGATCGTTATCGTCACGTCAGGTTTTTGGTGGATTTAATCAAGTCTTGGATTGCAGAGTATGAATGTCCTCTTGCTATTTTCAGTTGATAAATACCATAGACTGTATATAAAGATAGATACGTTTGTGAAGGCAGGAGGAAAAAGCTTCCGCAATCACCGTTTCCTCTGTTCCTCCAAACCCCGCCCCCTCCCTGAAAATAATGATTGACAGGCTAATAGTAACCTGATAGAAACTTTATTATTCACTTAATCACTGATTGAGATATAATGAAGCTAACTTAATCTCATACATGCATGGGATTTATGTAACAGTAAGACAGAGAATGTAAGTGTGCACCCACATGCAGTATTTTTGTTTTTATATGCTGCTGTAAATACTCCTGCTGTGTTCAGACTCAAGTCATGTGTGTGATGCCACATTCAAGACATTCAGTGTCTTTTTTTTTAACAGAAGACCGTTGCTAGAAGCTGCAGCTAGACTGCAGAAGTATTAGTTTTTTTGTTTTTGAGGATGGAACAATTTCACACACAGATATAGGGAGGCTAGACCTATACAATTGATTTATTATGGACGAAGAAAAAGATGGCTGAACTGTTCAGTGCCAATCCTGTGGAGATGGAGGTGGAGGTTATACATCTCCAAAATCATGTTCAGCTTAAGTCTCAGCAAAACTCAGAACATTTCTGGAGCCTTGTAGACCCAGAAAACTATAAGAACATTCACCAAGCAGCACTGAACATGTCTGCTCTATTTGGTTCTACTTTGTGAAGCAGCTTTTTCTGACATCAATGTCATGAAATATAAATACACAGTAAGAATGACTGATGACCATGCAGCGCCAGTCATCTCACTGACTGTGAAAAAGATTGAATGCACTTATTTGACACATGTACCATAAGATGCTTGTACGGTGGTGATTAAGGACATTTATGTGCATTTTCAGTGATGTACTTATTATGTGGGCCATAATAATATGTGAGAAATTGTCGTTTTCTTTTACCTTGATGTGAAGTTAAGATTTTTGACAACCTTTAGGTATTGCAATTTCACATGTGTACAAAAGTAGCTTAATTCAACTGATGAGTGCTATGTGAATAAATGTAAGCGATGCGATGCAAGTAGCTCTTGGCCACTTTCATTTTTTCAAAGTAGCTTTCAGATGAAGAAAGGTTGGAGACCCCTGGGTTAGTGTAATGAGAGAGCATTGGCTGTAATGTGTACTAGTAGCTACTGGTGGTCAAACACTCTACAGGGTATTATTTCTAAGCTGTAACGCTGGTTACTGTGTTCATGATCGTTGATTGTATCTTCTTTCCACAGGTCAGCAGAGGGATCTGAAGTGGAATCTTGCAGGGGTCCAGCTGTTCTCCGGCGAGGGTCTGGACACGTGCGTGCGTGTCCTTCAGAAGCTGTGCAGCCTGTTGCTGCAGCCGTGGCGTGTGCACGGACACATGGGCCCCACACCGCAGCGCTGCATGATCATCAGTATCTGCATCAGCACACTGAGACTGCTGCGCACCATGCTGACGGAGCTCCTGCGTGGGGGAGCGTTCCAATTCAGGGACACTCGCGTGGCCAGTGTGTTGGTGTCGCTCCACATGATCGTCTGCTCCATCCCCGCATCCGGACGTCTAGACGGAGAGGAGACTCGAGTGCAGGCGCTCATCGTGGACGTACTGCTCACCTTCACACAGGGTGTTAATGAAGAGGTGTGTGTGTGAATGAGCAAGAGTATTAAATATTGGACTAAAAGTGTCATAAATGGTAATTAATCTAAATCTTTATGTGTGTTTTGTGCAGGTGACTCACACAGAAGAGACTCTGGCCAGTAACACTTGGTCTCTGATGCTGAAAGAGGTTTTGGGCTCGCTGCTGAAGGCTCCTGAAGGGCTCTTCTCTGGTTTGACGTTGCTGTCTGAGCTCCTGCCTCTTCCACTGCCAATGCAGAGCACTCAGGTAACTCAATATATCATACTCATCCCCTATCTGACCTGAAACAAATATGCACTGATTCCCAAGGCCTTAGCATGGTGACTAGGCTAAAGGGTTGTAGTATCTGCCAAACACAATTACACAGCAGCAGATGATGTTCTCTACTCTTTAAAGTCTGCACCAGACAGTTGGTTGGTTCATGGACTCACAGAGGTGTTCCACTGAATATACGGAAACACTGGATTGGATATTTAGCATTAGAATATATATCTACACGCAAACCTTAATAGTCTTTTGGTTCCACAGGTGATATCAGTCCAAGATGTAGCGGTAGCCTTGAACACGAGGAAGCTGTGGAGCATGCACATACGGGCGCAGTGGAAAGTGTTCTCTGAGGCTCTGAGGTGTGCGTGCGCCACCAGCTGCCCCCCCCTCCTGGCCATGCTGAGGAGGATGTGCGTTCAGCTGGCTGACCTCTCTTCACCCACGGCAACACTCATCATGAAGAGCCTGCTGGAGCTGCTGCTGGAGGAGCTGCAGCCGTAAGTGAAAACACACTCAAGGGAGAATTTAGGAAATGACTATGCAGCTTTACAGGCCACTAAACCTGCACAAGACAACCTGTCATTTTGAAAGGTTGAAGTGCACACCGACTGCACTCCCAATCACATATAATCTCACTACTCCTGTGCCCTGTATACGTTTAAATTAGGCAACATGCATACATTTGGCTCCTTTCTGTGTCATTTCATAGCAAAAACAGTTATTAAGCATTGTTTTTCTGTGGTGTTATTGACCCAAAAGCAACTTTATGAAAGGATTGGTTCTGCAATCGCATTAGTGCAATATCTTTTGTGAATCTGACCTTGAAACGGAACAGATAGCTGTTTTGTTTTTTTGTTGCAATTCTTGCCGCTGTAAGCTGCTGCATCCATTCTTAGTGAATTTCATTTGTGTGAGTTTAAAATGAAGAATTGTATTTGAATTGTATGCAATGTGCTCACTGCAGTGCTGAGGGGAAGATAGTGTGCTGGGGCCAAGTCCTGAGGCTGCTCTCTCTGATGGACGCCCTGGTGTCACAGAAAGCGTGTAAGAGCGCAGCGCTGCACCTGCTGTCCGGCTCTGTGTCCGGAGACGAGCAACTGGCCGATCTGTTCCCCCCCATGCTGGCTCTGCTGGTTCCTCCAGCGGACCGCTCCTTACCCAAGCAGCAATGCAGCGAACTAGTGGGGACGATATTACAGTCACTGTGTGACCAGGTAAGCAGGGTGCCGGGCTCGCACACACCTTAAACGTTTGGATATGCTTTTAACTGTTATGTTTTCAATGTTAGGAATATGGTTCTATTTGAAGATGCCATGTGTAAAATGCTTGGATTTTCTTCTACCCAGTCACTCATGTAAACCAACAATCTTTTAAAATGTAGAAATGTAACAAATCCCAACGTCATATTTGTCTGTTGCCTCACACCACACACAAAGAGGACGGAGGAAAGTAGTTAACTAATAATGATCAAACATACAATTAAAGTTAAAATAATCAAAGTATAAATGAACACCGATTGTTGTGGTGTAAAGGCAACCCATAAATCAATATTATTTGGAAGTGCATCTATGGTTACCAGTCAGCGGCCTTTAGAGTGCTTGGTTATAACATAATGTGATAAAGTCTTGACAGAGAAAAGGACAAACCTAAAATTCTGAGTTCCCTTCCCCAGGACATTTCTCTGGTGGTGTCTCCTCCTGGTGAAAGCTGCATGTCGGAGGCTGAGCAGCTGGCCAACTCCCTTCCAGGGCGAGAGATGATCTCATCAGTGTGTAACGGCTTGTTGGAGGTTCTGGGGAACGCAGAGAGCAGCGTCCCACTCCTCCTCACCTGTATCAGGACTCTGGCATTCCTCAACGAGCACGACTACGGACTCTACCACTTCAAAGTGTAAATGACAGTCCCCTCCTCGTTTCTTGCCATCACCACCACTGTCTCCCTTTTTCTAAACCCTTTTTCTTTCTCTCTGGTAGATAACTTTATTTCTCTTTCTCTTTGTGTCAGAGCTCTAAAGAAACATGGCGCTGGTCTTTGCTCGCTGTTGAAGAGATTGGTGTTGGCCTTCAGCAAGGACTCGGCAGATCTGCTCTCAGCTCTGCTCGACTTCCTCAGACAGATCCTCAACACAGAAACAATGGTCAGTAACCTGAATAATGTTTTAATGGCAGTCAAAAAACAAGACAGGGCATCGTACCAAGACATGTCCACCTGTAGAAATTATAAAATATATTTGGAATTCCTTAAGAATTAAAAATCAAACGTCAAAGTTAGATTTTTTTTAAAGCATTTTGGAGGTGTGTACTAATAATGAACCGTGCAAGACTTAATATGTCTTGTAGAGTATAATATGTGATCGTTGTATTTTATTATTGTATCTGTCTGTGTTGTCCTGCAGTGTGTGGACGAGACACACGGGACGGGGGAGGAGTCAGCCTTCACTCCTCAGCGGCTGCTGTCGGGCTCCGAGATGAAAGCTCTGCTGCAGTGGGAGGGGGCCGAGTCCCACCCACTCCCTACTTTAGAGAAAAGGATTACGGTACGAATCAAACACAAGCGTAACGCTTTTTGCAAAGTAAGTGATGATGGCAGTTAACTAACTCTGTAACTCACGTCTGTAGAAACTATGTAAGGAGGACGATTCCCTGGAGACGATGTTGGAGACTGTGGTCGTTCTGAGGCAGACGCTGGAGATGGCCACTGACTCTCCACCTGCCGTCGACACTGAGCCCACTCTGCCAGCACCCGAGACCCTCGGGGCTCAGTTTAATCACAGGTACAAAATGACATATTTTTTCTCTCTATCATTTTTCTCTCCCTTTTTCCAAATGCAGTCATCGATCACAGGGAGGCCCTTACCCTACCAGCCAGGGAAATGTCACTTTTAAACAAACCTGTACACCCTTCTTTGAAACTACACCTGCACTTATTACAGTATGGATGTGATATTAAATATGCCTGCCTATCTCTGTCTCTTTGTTTTCTGTAGGACAGTGTTCATTCTGTCCGAAGCTCTGGATGAGCAGCTGAAGACCCTCTGGTTCTCTCCGTTCCAGACTGACGACATCGAAGCAGACCTTGATTTGGTAAGTGTGTATGCACTTTCAATACGTTATGGCAAAAATGAAAATCCCACTGCAACTCACTATTGTTTGCGTTACAGATTGATCTGCCAATGAATGTCAAATCTAATTCATATAAAATGTCAGTAAATATAGAGACATGTATATCCCAAAATCCAAGGTAATGCCTTTTTAAATGTTTTCTCTCACCAAAATTCCAAGATATTGAGTTTAATATGACATAAAAGAGAGAAACACATGAAATCTCATTAATTAGATTAGTTTACTAAAATCTACTATAAGGATGAATTGATTATTAAAATGGAAAGTAATTGTTTTTCTGTTGACTCATCGATTAGTCATATTGTGGCAGCTCATATACAGATGTGTTATTGTAAAATGTGCTAATCTCCATGCAGTATTTATGTTCGGTGGTTTACTCAAATGTTTTTTGGTTTTTCAAATGTTTTTGTAAAGTGCCTTTCTTTCCTTTCTTCACTGCCAAGTTCTTTTTAATTATGCTTTCATGCTTCCTTTTTTTCGGATCTTCACTTAAACACATGAATCTTGGAAACGTAAAAATCAAAACTGAATTACACATGATGCTGATGCTGCAAGGTTATGAAGCACTGTGTCTGTCTATAATTGCCGCTGTGTCTGTGTTGCAGGTGAAGGTGGATCTGGTGGGTCTGGCTCAGGAGTGTTGTCCAGAACTGGACCTGAAGGCCGAGCTGGAGCGCTCCTTCCTGTCCGAGCCCTCCTCCCCGGGTCACTCTAAGGCTCCCAAAGGCTTCCGACTTGGCAAACACAAGCATGAGACGTTTATTACAAGGTATAGGTCCAGTGTTTGGGTCTATTTCTTTCCATATGTGTTCTGTATATTGTGCAAAAAACTTACGTCTTTATTTATTGTGTTTGTCTCTTCAGCGGTAAGTCGGACTACATCGAGCCGGCAAAGCGAGCGCACATCATGGCAGCTCCTCGTGGCCGTGGAGGTCGAGGAGGGTTCGGACAGAATCTCAACCGACCACACGATATCTTCCGCCAGCGCAAACAGAACACCTCCCGTCCTCCCAGTATGCACGTCGATGACTTTGTGGCGGCGGAGTTTAAAGACACTGGGACTCCTCTAGGACTTTTGCCTCCTAAACGGCCCCCCAAGAGCTCCCCAAAACCCCCAACCAGAGGACTGTTCACTGGCAACAGAGGCAGGGGCACCTTCCACAGCCAGACTCGCTTCTTCACTCCACCACAGCCCAAAGGGGTTCTGCTGTCCGGTACGTACACACAGAAACTCGCTGGTTATAGAAAGATTTCTTAGTTGTTGGTATTATAACTTGTGCGATCAAACAACACATGGTGTTTTGTTCCAGCTTCTTAAATGAGAAGGCTTCCTTATTTTCTTTGTCATATATCATTGTGAACTAAAAATTACATTTGACGTCGCATTCGGCTTCGAGATGTTTGGATTACCAATTGCCCGCCTAAACATTGACCAATTAATAGAATAATTGTCACAGAATACTATGAGTAATAATACAAATACGTATCCCTATTGTGTAGGTCATATTATTTGTATTCCAGACCGTAAAGTTCATTACATTTCTTCCTTGTTGGAGCATACTGCAGGAAAGATCTACTGATTGGCCACTAGAGGAAGCTAAATCTTCTATTTTGGTTCTGTAGGTAACTACACTCGCAGAGAAGGGGGCCGTGGTTCATCGTGGAGTGGCCAAATTCCAGGAGTCACCCACAGAGGAACTTACAGTGAACCCCGTGGGGGGCAGAGCAACTTCACACGGGGGCCCATGCCCTCCAGACAACCCCCAGCAAGTAAGAAACCTAAACCCCCCAACCAGTACACACACACACACTTGATTTGCACTTTGGACCTTTAAACACTGAACTAATAATGCAGTGTTTTTGTCTCCAGGTGCGTATCGGCTGGCTCCACGGGACCGAGCCCAGCGGGGGAGGGGGGGCGCCGGGCTGTCGTGGCTGAGCGGAGGAGGAGGAGGAGGAGGAGGAGGAGGAGGAGGAGGAGGAGGCGGCGGCGGTGGCGGTGGAGGAGGTGGTGGAGGTGGAGGGAAGCGGAGAAAGGGCCAGAGCAGGACCACAACTGCTCCAAGCATCACAACCAGCTCCGTCAGCTAAACTCCATGGTCTACTGGATGGGGCTGAGAGAAAAGCAGAGACAATACTTTTTCCAGCAGCCCCCGCCATAGACAAAGTTCAAAGTGATGAATTAACGCTGCTATGCATTGTAGAAGATGCAAAGAGAACTGGAGGATTGCTGCAACACTAAAGGCTTCTGAGCTTTGTGAATAGATGGACATATCTGGAAGATACTGTTGTCTAAGCGGCGTTCAGAAAGACTTGTTGAGTTTCTTTCCACTGTGAGGGATCACTGCTGGACTGCAAAGCCGTGTTGAGGATTGCGGTTCGTGTCGGCAACCAAACCGATGTCACTCCACAGATTCCTGTGTTTCAAATGCAGCATTCAAGCCTGAAGTCTGATAATGAATGACGGTTCTCTTCCCTCTCGTCTGGTCTATGATGTATTTTGTTCCAGTCCTGTTTTAATCTCAATCTGTTCTTCATTTGTTTTCATCTTTTTGAGAGGGTGGCAGATGGATTTTCTCAAAAAGCCGCTGTTCATGATGTAAAGACAATGAATAATATTAAGTCTTTGTACCTTTATTTCCTATTGTGAGATGAAACAAAACAGAAAGGCACTGGATATCATTTGTGGTTGTTGAGGGCAAACGCTAGACAGTATGTTATTTTGAGTAAGGAATATATTACAAAGCAAGCCTAAGATGAAGGAGGATTACTGGCTTATATCCTTCTTTGGTGTCTTGACTCAACCTTTTTACCATTTGATAGCTTAGGTGTTTGTTCAGAATTAAATGTTGGTGTTTGTATCTGAAATGAACTCTGCACAGAAAACGAGGAATACAAACATGAGTATTTGCATATGTACAAGGTTGCATGCAAGTGTGTGTGTGTGTGTGTGTGTGTGTGTGTGTGTGTGTGTGTGTGTGTGTGTGTGTGTGTGTGTGTGTGTGTGTGTGTGTGTGTGTGTGTGTGTGTGTGTGTACGTACCTAAAGTCTGTCTGTTTGTATGCATTTCTGCACGGTCATCAAGTTGTTTGTAAATGGAACTTAGTCNACACACGGCTCCCTTTGGATTTATTGGGAGGAGGGGGCGGGTGGAGAGGTGGCGTTTTAAAGCAGGAAGGGTCAGAGTAAGAGCTGTGGAGACGTTAACTGTATCATATGCGACACACACGTTAAACTTTTACAGCTGTTAGGATTCATTTCAAAGCTACTTCCCGTCCTATGTTTTATTTTTTAGCAACAATATGTTTTCTTTCTCCTTGACTTTCTCCTGTGTCTTTGTTATCACGTTCACCAAGAACCAAGTTTACAAAAAAGCAATCTTTTAGAAAGTAAGGCCTTCATTTGGCAAAAGGTTTGCAAACAAGCATAGTTGTCTCACATTCTTTTACAATACTGTGTCTTTAAATACATATTCAAACTGTAACATTTCAATGAAATGGCAACCCAAAAGAACGCTTAGCTACTTCATCGCAACACAAGCTAAGTTGTGCTTGCTTAACATAAAAACTGTATTACTTTCTTGACTAGCACTGAATCATAAATTGCAGCAGGCTGTAAGTAAATCCTCAGTATCTAAAACTTTTAAGATCTAGAATATGATAATACTTTGCATGTGCCCATGTTTGGTCGTCAGTGGACTAATCAGATTGTTGTTTCATTTGAAATAATTACATGTTCACAAGTTTTGATTCAATTTAGATCATTTTAGAACATTTTGTGCATGTCTGACCTTTTCTTGATAAAGCGATTAGATTAAATTGAACTGGATCCATGTGTATCTGTACAGATTAACCAGATATACACTGGAAATCGGTAGTGTCCAGTAAGCGCAGTTTGAGTTTTGCCATTAAAAAACATCAACATCCCTAAGAGCAACTAGTTTTACAACATGCAGTTTTTGCTGCGAGGAGTTCACAAATTCTCTTTGTGTGAGCATATAAGGAGCTGTGTATTAGCAAATTCCTTTTTACAAAGCTTTAGCAATTAATGTCTTTGCAACTCTTTCTCCTGCCCTCTTTGTTTTATTGAGCCTGTTTGGACATGAAGTTGTGTGACCTCAGGTAAATCCAAGCAGCTTCACCCAGTAGCAAACAAAGCAGTGGCCTAATCAGCAATTGAGATCACCTGAGTGGGTGTGCAGGGAATTGTCCAAAAAAAGCCTGTTGCAACAAACCTACCTTAAGTCTTAAGTCCAAATATACGTACACACTAATTGGACAACATTTCTGGTATGCTATAACCTAGTACCCCCAAAAAGAAAATGTATTGAAGTTGCAAAGTATGTAAGCTGAACATTTTCCTCCACTCGTCTTGTAAAGAACTTGTGGAGAACACAGGTGAGTTTAACAACATACCGTATTTAGTTTCATACATATACAACATCAGCTGATTTAATATGCTTTACTATATACTTTTAACTTTAGTATATGAGAAACTAACTGAGCAAAGCCAATGCTGGTTTAAAATAAAATGTCTCTTACCTTGTCAGTTTCTACTCTGACATGACGTACACAGTTTATCGCTGTACCCTTCATCTTTACAATTACCCCGTGACCAAGGACATTTTAAAGGACACTGAATTAGTTACTTAATCAAATAATAAATTAATGACCGCCCTCATGCTTTTTATTTGCCAACAATGTTGTATTGGCACACATAAAGAGAAAAAACATGATCAAGTTTTAACTAGCTGCTGTGAGTGTTGCATCATGTTGAGGTCACGTCTTGCACAATGTCTCGAGACAATCACACGGTGAAATTAATCAGTTATGCAACGTTACTGCTCACAGCCTGCTGTATGAATTCCCAGGTAACATATCTTATCAGTTTTATTCATTGGGATGCGTTCATGGACAGGAATTTGGTATGATCCCCTACATTACTGCATAGCAACAAGGCACAATATTCAATGTTCTGCCACTGGGGTGGCATGGGACTTTGTCTTAGGAGTTAGCTTCTCTTGGTTTGACATCTCTCTGCTCGCCAAGGTACAAGTGGGACTGGCTCTCCTAATGTCGTATTGGTTGTTTTTTTTTGTATGATTTTATTTTCTCTACTTAAGTATTTTTTATATTTAACTTTGCAGACGACTAACGACCACAGGTAATCGCTTCTCTAACTTATTACCAAGTACACTATGATCCAAGTTTCCGATGTAATACCATAATTAGACTTATCAACCCTGCTCTTCCTGCATTGCCAGCATCTTAAAATGAAAATGTGATCTTTTTATAAGCAAGAAGTCACTGACATTGGATATCCTGTTATCACTACTGTTCCAGATCAAACTTTTGGTCCTAAACCAATTCAACCAAATGTATTAGCTTAGCTTGTTGACACTTTGTCTCACATGCCCTGCTATTCAGTACCTCACCTCACTCCCTCCTCAATTGGCCCTATTGTTTACTTGACTTTATTAATTGTTCCCTTGCTTCTGGCTGCATCCCTTATTACATCCCACATAATAAATGCCCATTTTTTCACTCCTGTTATTTAAAAATGTATCGCTAACTCAACTTTGAGCTTTTCTATAAATTATAAGCTAATTGTAAAGTATTTCGCAAAAACAACAAACTACCAAAACTGTGTATCAATCCTGGTTAATGTTCTATTTGAATACTTCTCAGATACAGTGCTGCCTTTTAACCTGTGGCCAGAGCTTTCTTATCAGTGGACAAAATCAGTGTGTCGTTATTTCAAGGACTACTCTTGAAAGGTTTGAAAAATATCACTCAAATAAAGATGAGAGTTTCCATCTGTAATCATGTTCCAGTTTCAGCTCCACTGATGCGTGGTGTGCCCCAGGGATCTATTCTCGGTCCTGTTTTGTTTTTCCTTTACATACTGCCATTAGGTAAACATAATCAGTCATTTTAATGTAGTCTCTGCAAATCCACTTTTTCTTTAAGCCATATAATGTTGCATGTCTTGGCAGTCTAATGGAGTGCCAAGACAGCTGCTATTGAATAACGGATGGCTTTATCCATATTTAATATTTAACAAAAATTTGGATGTAAAAAATCTCATTAAATCTTGTTACTTCCGCCAAAGATATACGACCAAAATTAAATCAGCGTTTCCTTTCCTGACTTAGAAAGGAGATTAAGGCCTTTTTGCACTTGGAATGCTGCAATACACAATTTACATGCTTTAGTCGTCAATGGCTCAACTTAAGCTACTTCATACTGCTGCTGCTTACATTTAAACTAAAACCAAGGGTTACCCTTACCTCATACCTACCTTTAATGGTTCCATTTAAATTAAGTGGATTTTAAGATTATTTTAAGGCTCGACATGGTCCGGCCCCCTGTTATATTTTTGTGCTTTTGATTCCATATGCTCTAAGTTGTAGCTCGAAACCATCGCTGGCTCTCTGTAGGTTGTCTGTAAGGCTTTTGCTATCCGGGAAATTTGTACATTTCTTAAGCACTTTGTAATCTTGTCTCTAGCTTTACATTTTGGAAACATTTGGGTTAAACGTATAACAAAACTAAATATGACTTTTAGTAATTTATAGACCTTTTAATCCACAAATGTTTCATATTATAGTATTCAAGCAAATAAAACAATGTTTATTTGTTTTTTTATTATTTATTTGGAGCTTTGTTTTTGGTCCCACTGACTCTCATTAGCCTGCATTGGTAGCAATGGACACACCTTGTAGAAATAATTGTGTGATTGTCTCACCTTGGTGATTGCTGATTGGGAAATACACTTGTGGCTTGTGGTGTTTATATAAAGTGGTGTGTGCCTGTGTGCGTGTCATTTGCCCTTTTGGCTTCTCGAGGAAGTTGAGCAGTATCAAAACACTGCATAGGTTCCTGCAAACACTTTATTTGTTGCTCCTGTCCTGGATGTGGTTTTGATAGATGAGTTTGAGCAGTGTGGGGAATTTCCTCCAACTATTAACACCTCCCTGTGGTGTGTTGTTTGAACTTTTGAAATGGGAACTCCTCATGCAAGATAAAGTCTGGGGCATGATGATTACGTGTTGTCAACATTCAATAATTTAAACCTTTTCGGTTTGGACT